AAGTGACTTTCGGACGATATGCGACCATTGCAGTGGCGATACCAAGTGGGGGAAACTTGCAATTCAGGTGATCACTCTGCGTGCTTGCGGTTTGAATGAGGTCGGCTCGAATGTTCTCTGCGGCAAATAAATTGTTGTCTTCTTCAACCATAATTCGTATCCATAATGGTAGCTTGTCTGTCAAGTACTGCATGAAAGACTTTGAAAAAGCGTCTTCCTGAATTAATTCAATCAAGGCATCTGCGCTTGGCTGAAAGGAGCACATTTCGTTCGATGTTTGGCCTGCCGAGCTCGTATTGATAGTGCTTGTCTGGGCGATAAGTGTCTTCAGCAACTCTGATTCTTGACCTGATTGAGAAGATGAAGCAAAATTGTATCCCACAAGACTCAAAGGAATTGTTTTGTTGTCGGGTGTAATGATGTGAACAGGACCTGACTGGACGAGAACATCATTTGGCAGGGTCGAGGAGGAGGTGTAGGCTACTTTTAGCCCGCACGGAAAGTTCTCTAGGTTCCTTGTTTGGCATCCGATTGGTACCTCGCCATTCAAAAGGCCCATTCTGGTGTAAATGCTGTTTTCATTTGACATATTAAGACCAACAAAGATTGAGCTATCCGTGGGAGACACAAAAGTATGCTTGTCTATCCCACTGAGGTCGTATGACACCATCCCAACTCCAGACTCGTGTCCAATAACTTTAAACTCCGCTTGATCCGATGGATACTGAATCATCACTCTCTTCGGATGGAAGGTCATTTTCAGGGTTGCATCGAAGAAAACAGTCAATACATTGTCAGGTTTCGCAAGTAATGAAAGATCTTCCGAAGGCCTTCCAGGAATTAGTTTTGGGAAATCAGGAGGTGTAACAACACCTCGTTCACAGAGATCTCCCTCATACCCAGTATTCTGACAATCACATGAAAACTTTTGTGAATCGATGAGGATGCATCTTCCTCCATGCCGACATGGATTGGGCTTGCAAAGGATTATCTCTAGGTAGAATTAAAACAGAAATTAATTAAGATAATAAGCAAATGGATCAAATAACAAATTACTGATTACTACAAGCGTACGGAGGAACGACATCTTTAAGGAAAAGAGAACAGGAGTTTAGTATTCGTTTTTGCTACGATATGAATTCTTCAGTCAATGCTCATTTTCTAATGACGACTTATACCTTCACAAGTGAAGTTTCCTATGTCCCATCCTACATTGCTGGAGTTAGTCAGCTGGCACGTTGCAATGCTACGGTCAAATGCAACGTATCCTCCTATACAGTCAAGTGTGCAGGTAGAACCAAACGTCACGTGACAGGGTAGTAAAACTATGCCTTTCTCTGGTGGATATAGTCGACCACAACTTCTCACTATGTTGAGTTATGAAAGAAACATTAAAGTGAGTATTACAGGAACGACAAGGTGAGTGGAAACATGGAGATAACAAAAGGATTTTTTAGAGTAAAAAGCAAATTTGGTTCAGAAAAGCTATCGTAGAAAGAAACGTGACTGGAAAAAGGAGAAGGAAAGCTAAGAAGTTTGAGAATTTGCTGGCTGTTCAACTGCCATTGTTGGTACCTTTGCAAGACGTTTGCTGTCCGTCCCACTTCGAAGAATTAAGGCAAGTTCTCTTTTCAGAACCTTGTATTTCATATCCATCATCGCACGTGAACCAGCAGGTCTCATTTGTGACAAATCCGCTGCAGGTCATGTGACCATGAGGTGGGGCAAAGATGTCCTCACAAGGAAGTCCTAATTAAGACGAGGAAAAAACTTTGAAAGGACGGTAATGACAGATGTCTACACATTCCTGAAGGCCTAATTCCTTTGTACCCGCTGCTCAATAACATTTGTTCCGAGGTCTCGTACTCTCTGATAGACTCTGAGAACAACCTTAACAACATGAATTTGTTAATCTAAGGTAGCAGTTGCATAGCATAACCTACCTTCACAGGTTCGCATGTCGGCCCTTTGTCTGTAGCCATGAAAACATGAGCAGCCATATGACCCAGGTGTATTGTGGCACTTATGTTCACAAAGGTGGACTCCTGTGTTACATTCATTCACGTCTGTGAAGTAAAAAGAATATGATCAGCGATCTGTAACTGAGCAGTATTCGATCCATACACAACTTTTCTTTAGGAGAGCGGACTGGTGGGTTGATCGATAGATCGATGGTTTATTCAGCCCATAGTCAGGTCTGTAGCCAGGGTAGATGTTAGAGTCTCCAAACTTACATGCAGTCATTAGAGACGACAGTTATATTCTTTGTGACGGTTAAAAATTAACTGAAGTTGTTTTTATGTTCCGAAGCATTACAAAAGAACTATAGGACAGTCTTACCCCGGCACCGCTTTCCGTCGTACAGAAGCTGATATCCCAGGTCACAGCTGCAGGTGTAGTTCCCTTGTGTGTTGTGACAGATTTGATCACATCCTGCTGGGATGACCGTTTTGTTAAGGCTCTTGACGAACACAGGGGTGCATTCGTTTACATCTGGAAAAACAAAAGACATGGTACTTGAAGAATAAGTTTCATTCGAGAAGCTGTACCTGCATGGATAGTGTGAACGACAATTAAGTAAATAGCCATCAACTAATGACCTCTGCGCAAAACGATTACTATTTCCTTAGTGAATTGGCAAGAAAGGTGGTGGCGAGAAGTGCTTTTCAAAACTAAGAGGCCATGGTAAGAGGGTGAGTGGCCTTTTACCTGAACAAGTTTTGTTGTCTTTGTTGAGTTCATATCCCGAGTTGCAAGAGCAGTAGAAGCTTCCAAGGAAATTGTTACACTTTTGCTGGCAGCCATGGTGTCCCAGCAAACATTCATCATGATCTGTAATGTGAACAAACAAGCTAGGGATTCATCTTGAGCGTTTTTAATAAGAATCGGTCAACTCAACACCTGTATAAAGCTTCATAGGGAATCTGACCTTGAGGTTTACATGAGGTTGTGAACGAAGACGGATATGACAGAAAAAACAAACATTTGCCTGTGCTCCTCCGCTGTCTCAAACAAACTTGTATCCATGTTCATAGGGAATAACATACCCGAGCAAGATCTTCCATTTGAATCCAAGAAGAACCCTGTGGGGCATTCACAACGATAAGATCCCGCAGTGTTAACGCATAGGTGGGTGCAGAAACCATTACTTGACAGGCATTCGTCAATATCTGACAACAAAGAGTGATATTGCTGTCAGTCTTACAACAGTGGCACTGCGCAAAGAGACAAATAGAGATGTTAATAAAGCTGATAACCATTAGCTGGCTGGCAAGTGGCTATTCTGATCACATTCCAGCCGCCCTGACCATCAATTTGTTCCTAACTTTTTCCTGAAAACAGGCACAAAGTGAGTTATCTCACCTTCGCAGTAAGTACCGCCGTTCCCGCTAATGAGGTTGAAGCCATTAAAGCAGCCGCATGAAAACTTTCCGGGTTGATTATGACATGTTTGTGGGCATCCTCCATTGGCTGTTAAACATTCGTTGACATCTTAAAGACAAACACATGTAATAAATATTTGTATTACATAGAGACTCAAGACACCGTCAGCATTTCCTCTACATTAAACTGATTTACATGGACACCCTGAACAAGCCATCTCCAATTCTCTTTCGCCTGACAAATCAGTAACGGATTGTTTTCAAAATTACCATCACAAATGGTTCCACCACTTCGGAGCTGAAATCCTGGTGCGCAGGTGCACTTGTAGCCAGGAACGAGGTTGACACAGTTTGCACCACAAGGCTCTCCAGGAACCCCGCAATTGCAAGGTCTTGGTGATATCGTCCGACATTCGTCGATGTCTGAAAATGAGACAGACGGTGAATGCGGGTTGATTACTTGGCTTACAAGTAAAGCGTGGAGTGTGAATGATGGAGATAATTTTGAGATTAAAAAGGAATCATTGCTTGTGGAGGTTTAAGGTTTGTCTCTTTCTCGTTGAAGAAATCGATGAATTCAAATGCACCTCTTAACAAAATGGAAGAATAAGAAGAACTTTCAGCATTTGCAGAGGTTCCAATGTTGTCAAAGCACTAAACATTTATCCTAGGAATGAAGAAAAAATTATAAAATCTAACAGCGCGAAGATGGTTGTTCCTTGCCAAAAAACTTTCTTAGACCCTCTATATCTCAGTGAAAAATTAATTCCTCTTCAAACACTTTTGAAATGCGATATTTAAATGAGCATCGTTTAACGTCATAATGAAGATCATACCTTGACATCTGTGGCCATGCTGGTTGTATCCAATGTTGCAGCTGCACTGATATGAACCAGGTATATTCACACAAATTTGGTCACATCCACCATTATTTGTAGCACATTCATTGACATCTATGCATTAAAACATAAGTTACTACCACTCCTAACGTCACCTCTGCCTTCACTTCCATTAAATCGACTTAACAAGATTGCGAGTGAAGATCGTCGCTTATTTAAAAGTGAAAGCTTTCTTTTTATGATCAGCGATCAGTTATGAAAATGAATAGGAAGGGTTCCTTGATTTTAAACATAAGTAAAAATGTGATATTCATGTGAGCAAACAAGAAAATAATTGTTCAAGAAAC